ACTGGTTCTAGGCGCCGAAATCCAATTCGCTCTGACACCTCTCCATCAATGTGTGTGTTTATCAATGTGTGTATTTCATGCCTAATGTCTATTATGTCCTGTTTGTGCATGTGGGTATTTGAACTTGCAATGTATACCTGAATGAAAACCTGGGGGATTTATAAAGCCTTCTCTCTCCTTCTGAACAAATATTGTTGCGCTGCTCATCTTTAGATTGCCCTTTAGGACTGCCATGACCGGTTTCCAAACAAAATACTTTAGCTGGAAAAATATTTTGTTAAGAGGGTGTGCACCACTTGAGCTAAATAGTTTAGAGTCCCTATTTTTATACTTTCTGCTGGATGTTTTCACACACTAGTAGTACAATTCTGTAAATGCCCTCAGAGATGGAATGTTTTTACAACCTGCATCTGGTTTTTCCAGGTTGTCTATCGCTGTTGGTTCAACTTTGAATCCCTAAAACAACTGTCTCATGGCAAAACTAATTGTGTGTGATTATACGTACATGCACAGTAAGCCCAGTGCTGTTTGAGAGGGTCATCTTCGGCAGGATGTTATAATTTGCCTGTTGCCTGCTTTAAGAGCTGTGTGTAGCTTGTTTGTGGCAGCCACACCCCCCTGCACTGACAGTACAGTAGTATATACTTCTAACAAGTCTACCTTCAACAAGTTCACATTTCAGATCAACCTTGTCAAATGAAATGGTAAACCTGGAGGGAACATAAATAAATATATTTGAAGTTTCAGAACCTTTCAGTTATATAACACAGTGTTGTTTGGCAGGAAGTGAAACTGTCTTCCTTCCTATTATTGCAGATCGTAGGGGGAAAACAAGTACACGAGGCAACAATGCTTTAAAAGGCTGTACAATATATACTTATGGTAAAATAACTGTTATTTATTCAGATGTTTTCCTGTCCTGAATTAAAGGGTGCATACTGTGTTTACAGTATGCTGTTGACAGGCTATTGTCAATATTGAATGCTTTGACTTACAAATCGACAAAATATATCTAAACATTATTTCAAATGAAGCTCAACGGATTAAAAACTAAAATGCAGAGACAGATCTGCAGATGCTTTGATGCAGAAGACACTGCGAGGCCATGTGTTGTGTGAGCTGGCCTGCAGGATCCCAGCGGATGAATTAAGTCTTTAGTAATGAACCTCTATGGCCACTGCGATCATTATCATTAACACTCGACGTCTCAACTACATCCTGACATTTCATAAAAATGTAATTCGCTTTTTAGTTGTTCATTTCTAAACATTCCAAAAAAGTCATTTCAAATGTTTGTACGTACTGTATTTTATTTAAATGAACCATGTTAAATACACTTTTACTCATACTTCTATCTGAAAAAGCTGACTTTTTTTTTTTCCTTCTAGGAAATGTAATATAGAAGCAATAGAACAACCCTGTTTTCATATTTGCTGCTAAAAGCTAAAATGGTTTTGAGAAGTGGTTAAAAAAAGGTTGAATTGAGTCCATCCTTACAGTGGATTTAGTTATAGAAGAAGTGTTAGATTTTTTAGCAGAAATATAGTTTGGAGTAAGAGGAAGTAAGTAATAAATTGTAAAAATGTCTTAGTAATGACAAAAGTTAAACATTTCTTGAAGACAAATATGCATATTTCCTCACTTTGTTCAAAACCGACCTAATCTTCACACCAGTGATCAATTTCTGTTAACATTAAAGACATGAGACTGTACTGAATGTGTGTGTTTGGTGGGGCTTTGTGCATAAAGGAGGTGTGTGTCAGTGTGTGTTCAGTGTTATCTGTATGAGTGGTTGCAATTGCACAACCTGGACGGATGTCTGCTGATGGATGGAGGGAGAAGTGAAAGGGTGAGTGTTCTGGCTTTTTCAGCCACAAAGGAAATAATGATTTCTGCTTCTTCTAGTCCAATGCAGAGACCTTTAAAAAAAAGCAGCATAAACATTCAGTCAGTGTCCTTACATCAACCTGTTCCTCAAAAGAGAAGCAGAAAGCATGTTTTCTTTGGCCTAACAATGACTGACTGGCAACTGAAGAACAGAAAAGCTGATGAAACGTGTTTTATGGATGCCATGCATTAGCATTTTTCGCCAGAATTACAATCCGCTACATGAATAATTAAATATCTATAATTATTTTGTGGAATACAATTATATATATTTACTAAATAATAGCTTTTATTCTAACATATACTTAGAATATTCAGCCTCCTGGTGTCAGTGCTTGTGCATTGAAAATGGACATTTGCATAATCTCATTATTTGTTGCAAAGTTTCATTATTTTAAAAGCTTCATCCTAAAGGCATTCAACCCAGATCAAGAGGATTACAACGAATGTTTGAAAAGGACTAGGGATGAGCTTTAACAATAAATAAATGATGCAATGTAGTTAACTTAAAGTCTACAAGTAAAACAAAGAATAATTGTCTTAAGGACTTATCTCGCACACAAAGAGAAATGTACATACGGGATTCTGCTTATCCATCTTCCAAACACTCACATAAACATGATTTTTAATAATGCTTGTTTTAAATGTATGTTTGCTAATTTACATTATTCTTCTTCACTTCCTTTGTTGCTCCAAAGATTCATTCGCAGTAGGTGGCACTGCTCTGGTAAAAAATGTACCACCAGTTAAGCTTATAAATTCTCGACCTTGAAAGCACCTCTTATGCGGCTTTCACACCAGCGCTTTTCCCTTTCTAGCTCCGAGCTAGAGCTTTTCTGGTTCAGCTCCGGTTTCCCTTTTCTGCTCCCGCTCTGTTCACACCGCCCAGCACCCGACTGGTGCTGCCGCTGCTGCGTCATGACGTCATCGTTTACATAGCTGATTTGCTCCCCAACGGCATTACGGCGCTCACAACAACGGGGAACTGCGTCGGGTCGATGATCGTGTTGCTTTTAATCACACGAAGCCAGATTAAATTGAATAACGACTTCTCCAACCTTATACTTTGCTCCAGAGTGCCGTGGTTCATTGTTTATTAATGTGTTTCTGCAGCATTTACCGACCGCTGCAGTGTTGGCTGCTCTTCCACAGGAGTTTATTCTCCTCCGTTAGCTCCCGGTTAGCTCACACTGCAGCGGCCGCTCTAAAGTATTCACTGTCCGACTCACACAAGCAGCTGATACATATCCCCAGTTCCCCTTAGCCTAAGTGAATGTGTGTCAGTCTGAATTGACGCTGTTTGGTATCACAACGCTGTTATGAAAGTTTCTCTGGTATACAATGGGTGATGTTAGCATAGCAACCGAAGCTAAACTGACTACTTGCTATTGCTATCCTATTGTGGCATAAACCGTTTTCTACAGGCACATTTTACCGGCGTATTTTTATTATGATTCTACTTGTGATAGTCGGACACGACAACCTGTGCAGCCCATGTATTGATTCCATCCGATAGCTGCTATAATACAAAACAACACGTCTGCGTCTCTCCACAATGATCAATAACAGTGAACGGATGGTCAAAGTAAGGTACAAATAAACAGAATCACACGAAGACTGGTTAGTGTTGCCTGACTTTATAAAGTGTGTTTATAAGCACTACTGCTTGTAGGCAGGCATGACAGTAGACCCATGTTCAGGGGAGGTGGCTTTAGTTTCCTGCACGCCTCGACGTAGAGAGACGTAAGCGATGCCACCTCTTAGCTCCGAAGCTCTTGCCTCTAGACCGACAATTTTTTGGAGCTGGAAGTGAACCGGATTCTGGAGCTAAGAGCCGGCGCCGCTGCGGTGTGAACAGGAAAAACCGGCGCTTTTCAGGCTCCTGCTCCGAGCCGGAGCTGAAAAAGCGCTGGTGTGAAAGGGGCATTAGACGTCACCCCACGGACCCTTTGGCGGGTCCGAAACCACAACATCTGCAAGCAACAGTGTCTGAGGGCTTCTTAAGATTTAATAAACTATGAATGTTTCATATCCATGTAAAGAAACTCAGCTAACTGATGATTTTTATTATTTTTTTGCAAAGAAAAACACAAGGCTAACGCTGAGCATCTGAATTAGCCCTGTGCGAAAAAAACCTTAACGCCGTTAGCACAGAACTCTAGCTATACCGATCGATATAACCTACTTATTGGATCTGCACAAACAAGCTTAGATAACATCCTGAGAGTCCACAGATTATAGAAATATATGGATCATCACTGAGCGATCAGAACTCGTGACAGGGGAAGCAAATACAGACAACACACGACATAGCTTTAGGTAGCAAAACACGGAGATATGCTCATTTTAGCTGTTATTCTGATCAAAAGTCGTGTTCAATGGCATTAAACGAGAACAAACGCGGCTGAAGGTTAATCCATAGGTTAATCCAATCTGTCTGTCACTTTGAAAAAATTATTGATAATCCATAATTCAATTTTTATGCAAAAATCGGAGAATACAAATTATCTGATAATGGTAGCCACCAGTGTGTTGCAGCTCCAGTTTTGGCTACGCGTCACTCTCACTCCTTATTTGGTAACCTGTGTGTGTATGTGGAACCTTCCCTCGATTCCATTGGCTCTAGCGGTTAAAAAGAGATGTCAATCATCACAATCGACCAATGGGTTCCAGAGAAACGGCAAAAACGCCCATTTCCACCCAAATGGCCCCAGAGGTGGAGTTTATTTTGCTAAACCTCTCTAAAAAGGTCACATGTCACTTGTTTTGCATCAATCTTGATACAGGGTACTTATGTTGTACTTTGGATTCCTAAAGCTTTTAGTCTACTAACCCATCATCCAAGGGTAGTTTTCACTATACGTAAAAAATAATTTTTTAATAATTTTTATAAAAGGTGAGATTGATTTAACTATTTTCATTTAAGGAAATGTGTTGCTTATGGGAAAAAAAAAGTGTACACAATCACTGTCATAAGGAAAGGTCGCCTTTAGAAAATTGTGACTTTTGTTTCTGATTCGCCCAGTTTAATGTCATGTGATGACTCCTCAACTGTTTTATTATGCAAGATTCAACCTGCAATCCGTCGTGAATAAAGGACACACAAAACAATCTTCCTTTTATAGGAAATTTTAATAGTTATTCAATGTTCTACATTTTACAGTAAATATACAATTACAAACTTGGCTTAGTTATAGTACTCGATCACTAACTGATCTTAAAAAAAACCCCTCAACAACAAAAGAAAAATAAACATAAAAAAACAAAAATTAAAAACAGATTTACACTTCATATCACAAGCCTGACGCTGGTCCTTCACTCTGGACCAAATAGCTAACATACAGTTCACTTCTCTCAACGCTGAACACACGTTGGGCTTCAGTTTCAAACACAACCTTACGGTAACAGATATACCATAGCATGTGCAAACTGGGTACCAAACTAAAACTTCCAAAGATGGGATTGTTCCAAATACTCGATCCAGGGAGAGGGGGATACAAGTATGCTTTTTTTTGGAAGACAAGGAATTTCCACTTTTTCACATTTAGTGTGAAATTAAACTAAGAGATATCTCGGACAAATTGAAATTAAAAAAGCTGCAGCAGAACATCGAAGACATTTAAGAGCCTACTACTTACTTTGATAGTAGTGTTTTAATTTAAAAACTAAGACTTAGCAACGGCAAGGCAAACAAAGGAAGAGAGAGAGAGAGGGGGGAGGGAAGGAGACGAGAAGTGGTGTGAATGGTTCTGGGTGCATTTTCACTGTCAAAGTGAACAAGCATTTTTTAAATGTACTGGAGAAAAAAAAAAGTGTAATCCTCAGTAAAATGACCGACTTTCAACATTTGGAAATGTCACAGAGGATAGAATGATACAGGAAAAAATAAAAGATGATGAAAGACCCATCATTATGACAACTTTGCCTTTCTCCCACTTAACACATTAAAGTGTTTAACTGTCCATTTTCACTTAAGTGCAAATTGAAATGAATGAAGAGGCGGTGAATGGAGTGAATGAGGAGCAGTTTCTACATCCTGAAAACCAGACCTGCTCTGTTGTGTCTGCCTAACCCCCACATAAAAAAAGTTTTTAAGAGGATTGGTCCACAGCCCAGAAAGAAAAGCACTCTCTTAATAACGCTCAACTTAAAAAGATCAACCCCTCCTATAAAAACATGTCTAAAATGGCATTTGAGAACAAATATCTGGGGGAAAAAAAGGGCGTTACATTTGGAGAAGACCGCCCCCCCCCCCCCAAATGTGTCAGCGTTAAAAAATATGACATCCAATTTTGATTGAAAAATGTAAAGGACACCGATAAATCATTATTTCGGCTCAAAGCCTAGACCCATGGTGATTCAAGACTCCATCACTGGCGACATCTAGTGTTAAAAAAGGCTCAGTCGAGGTTTAACAAAGACCAAAAATTACAAAGGGTATCACCAATTGAATGACTATCATATAGTTCAATATGACTGCTACTCAGACGGGGCGGTGGAGATTGCAAAGGTCGGAGAGAAGGAACAAAAACATGTCGCTGAGAGCAGACATTTAAGAAGAAAGGTAGACGTGGACATGAGAGGGAGCAGAACTAGTGATCAGGCATCATTGTGCATCCCTGAAATGTGAATAACTGAGTGTTTGAATGGTTGGTGGGATGCAAAATGGCCTCTGGAGTGAAAGTAGGACAAACATGGAGGATACTGTAAGAAAGGTCAAAGTGAGACAGGCAATATGCATCAACAAAGTGAAGATTCAGCATTAGGGAAATACAGATTCACAAGAAGCTAGACAGAACAAGAAGTTCACCAGAGATGAAAGTAATCTTTACCGTTTGAAATATGGCACAGAACAAAAAGGGCATTGAGGCTGAGGGTTTCCATTCATCATTAAATACATCTTTGCACCCACAAGACAGCAAAGATGGTCTCCTAAAGCATCATGGTAGCCTTTCCACAGTCAAACAAATGTAGGATTCGGTGTCAAGAATCTCTGCAATTTGTTGACGGACATTATCTAAACGTCTCCCCCTCCTCGGTGACAGATATGTAGAGGACAGAGATGTGGAAAAGGTAAAACAAATAAAATATTAAAAGCGCAAACAGTAGCTGCCACACTGATGCAACCATGCTTAGCTAGAAATACATTACTGTACCACTTGCTGTATAAATATACTGCATTTTTTTTTTTTTACCTAAAGATCCAATGCTATAGTGAGTTACACCTGAATATTATGCATACCCATGTGCTCAATTTACCAGAGGGAAAGAAAAAACAATTTAATTGAGAAATACTGATAGTAGTGGTTGGTTAAATAAATCCTAATGACGAGTAACATTTACGCTGTCGCAAGAAACCCTACTTCCTGTATTCTTTTCAGGTTGAATAAAAACACAGATGTTGGACACTTTAAGACCCGATAACATCCACTTTATATCTTCAGAAATACAAGCGTTTTTCCATCCGACAGCGGCATAATGCAATATCTTCTTGAGAATTAACCTACAAGTGTACAAACATCTGGACTAACAATAGCTCAAACACTCAATCTTATCGTCTTATTTTTTTAAATTACAATATAAATTGCTCCTCCCTCCTTCACTACAAAGCCTAGGTACCTGTTACTTAGCATTAAATGATGGTCATCAAGTTTGTTTTTTTCTCATGTTGTGCAACATTTCCTCACAAAGTTATTCAAAACCCAAATGTTTGATATGTTCTACCTCTCTTCTTAGCATTACATGTACTTAGTATTGAATAGAGACTGCATACAGAGCCTGTTATCCACATTAGAGATTACAAGCATTTCAAAAAAAATTATCAATTCCAAACGCTGATAAAATATTAACTGTATGTGAACAGTTGGAGGCATTCCCTCTTATTTTATTGCAATATCAAACCACTTCATCTACATACCAGCGCAGTAAATGCTTTTGTAAAACAAATCTGTACGCTACAGATTATGAAGCGGTGATTTCGGTCCTTTTTTCTGTGTGAATCCTGAAAAATGCCACACGCCTCACCTAAATATTGAACCCTACCGTCACTACTGTAGGTTTGTAGTGTTATTAAGATGGGTCGCCATACTGCTTTTGCACATACACGCTTTCACATGAATAAGCATAAAAAAGGCAACAGAAAAAGGCTGTATATGGTCCTTTTTTCATTGGCTCAAATGTTATCCTCATCTGAACACTAATTAAGATTATGCTGGATTACAAATGGTGGATTATGTTTAAATGCCAGTAAAAGCAGATATGTGTACATTCCAAAACGTTTGCAATAAGGATATTATAGACTACTAAAAAGTCTGAAATCGACCTGGAATAAACCGGTTTAAAACTAAGAGGCCGAGACACTTCGTCTTCCAGGCTCTGCACCTTGTGTTCATGTCTCAGACTGTTGTAACCACCAACACTGAAACCAGCGCTCCTGAATCACATGGCACTAGCCTCAAAGTTCAAATCTGGACTCGGAGAATAACAAATTGTCCCTATGGCATGGACTCGGTGTCTACACATTCCAGCCTTCTGATTGGACATTTTCAGCACTGGACTATGAATTGAATCGTATCCATCTATCAGCACATATTTATTAGACTGGGCCATTAAGTCATGAATATGTAAGAGTCTAGGTTTTCTACTTTGAGTGTTTGGTTACAAAATCGTCACCTGGAAGAAAAAAGGGAGGAGGAGACGAAGTAATCACAGTGAGGAGTCAATGTACAAAACATGTAGTGCAAAAATAGCATATTGTGTGGTCTCTTGCAGGTAAGAAACACAAACTCAAATGTCTTGTACCTTGAAATAAACACACCTGACTGAGTATGTCATCTCCTCCTCCCTCCTTTTGGTCTACTCTCCACATCTTGTCTCCTGTCTTTGCGCCAATACAATCCCTTTAAGCTCCTCCTCTGCTGTCTGCCATGCACACTCAGAAATCCATGTCCTGTGTGTCTGCTTTTGTGTGTGTTGATCAGTAACAGCAGAACTGAACATATTGTACAGTAAGTGCAACTAAATGATCATGTGGTGTCCAACACATCACAGGAGCCCCTGTGTGTGTGTGTGTGTATGCGTGTGTGTGAGAAACTGCGCACGACCACCCACGACGGTGACGCGGTTAATCAAATATTCGTACAATTTGAAATGCATTGACTTACACTTAAGGTTACGATTTTGAAAGTGTCCCGTCATACTAGCCTGCAGAGTATGTAGCATGAAGTAGGTGATGTTTACTTGGTGTGCATCATGCTAAAGTGGACGAAGTGGGACACACAGCTGGATGGGTCAGTAAGCGCTCTGCTCGTAGCACTCGTACGGAGATAAACGACGGGGGGGATGGACTGACTACTGCCGGACAGACAGCTATGCGCTGGAAGACGAAAAAAGAGGAAGAAAGTAACAAAGGCAAGAAAGAATATCAAGAAGTCAAATAACCTGAAACCTAAAATGCTTAGTTTGTTAAAACCCTGTGCTGACATCTAGTTCTTAGAAGTTTGGCAGCACAAGTCAATAAGTGTTTGTAGTGACTGACGGAGAAGATAATGAGGAATAAGTGCCTGATATTTTCCAGCCAACTGAGCAGCAGGAAGGACCACACACACCAGCACAACACAAAACAGGAGCAACTGACACCCGTGATTGGTCAAGAGTCCTTCTGGAGTTCCAATGACAAACACATCAAAACAAATAAAGAGGACATCAAATAAAAAAGCCATACAAAATAAGGTAATGACTGGTTGGCAAATGAACAGAGAGAAAAAAATAAAAGCAGCTTTTGTAAAAACGTTAGAGAATGTCGCGTACTAACAATAACAATAATAGTAAAGTGGCTGTTGCACTTTAGTTTTGTTCTTGCAGACAGGTGCCGAGTTCCCATGGTTACCAGTGGGAGCCCGGGTAAGATTTGAGCAGTTGCATACGATGGTGGACTCCAGATCTGGTGGGAGAGAAGAGAAAAGGAACACCTTAGTGATTTATTAAAAAAAATGACACTCACCTCTACGGAACAGAGAGGAGAACAAATGAAAGGCAGTGCAGTTTGTTCAAGTCAGGGAGACAACATCAAAATAAAAAGGATGGGAGGAGGGAGTGTAATAAATGGAGGAGAGAACAAAGTAAACAGCAGGGGGGGCAGACACTCACATGATGGGTGGGCTCTACCAGTGGGGCGGGACGTAGCTGTACCCAGGTGTCCCTTGGGGCCTGTAGGTTGGCACAGTTACCGGGTGTCCTCCAATCTGGGCGTGCTGAGGCGTGGTCAGCAGGGTCCCTACAGGAAGTTAACAACACCATTAATGAGATCAGTTATTTATTTATCACTCTGCAGAACAGCTATGAAGGTTTCAGTTATTGCTGTACAGTATGAATTGCACTTTTATACATTTGTTTTTAAGAGTAAATCAAGCATTTGGGTTTATTTCCCCCAATTCTAAGCTTGTGTTTTCGCTAAACACCTGCTGATTTAAGTTAAGGTCTCGAGGTTAGCCCCGAAATCAGTGGCTAAAATTGAATTGATGATCAAAATAGTTGCCATTACATTTTCTACATCGACTAATAACTGAATTGCTTAACTTTTAGATGTGTTGGTACAGTCAGGTCTGCACACTGCTGTTTTAGGATATGCAGACCTGACTGTACCAACACATCTAATCCATCAAGAATTTCAGCAAAATCACAAGAGAAGTCTTAAAAACAACACATTTAGTGAGCAACAGTCAAGAGAACAGAGGTAAGCAAAGACGTCAATGCAAGCAAGTCATCTCGGAAAGTAGAAATAAACTTAACATGTTGGAGCCAGGAGTCTGGCCGTACCTGCACTCATGGCCATGGTTGTCCCAGCGACCATCCCCATGGCAGCCATGCCTTGGTTGCGAGGAGCCTGTACGGGGACGGGGGCGGGGTAGAGGGCCGCGGAGGGGATGCTGTTGGGCTGCACCACGGTGGTGTGATGGATCACATGAGGCTGAGCCGCATACACCGGCTGGGTGTAGTACGCTCCCTGAGAGGGTAGAGGAGGAAAGTGAGGCGTTAGTGTAAGGTTTATAACGCTTAATGTTTTACCACTGCATACTGAAAGTATACAGAAAACTCATTGGCGTTTTTAATTCTTATCTTTGCTCCTGCCTCTGTATTTTTAAACATCCATTCAACCATTAAAACAACCAAATTACAAAAGAACAAAATGAGACCTTTGTTGTTGTCTTGTCGTGTGATTGCATCTCAAACAAAGCAACTGTGTTTCAGGCTTGTTTCAGTATCATTGGCTCACCAGGGGTTTCCTGTGAAATTGCAAACTAAATGGACTTTCTGTTTGGGAGCTTTGGTTCTTGGAGCTCACTGTGACAGTTAACCAAATGGGTTCTTTGTTCAAAATAAATTGTTAACATGCCCATAAACAAAACAACCACCCATAGCTCAAATTCAAAAGACTTCTACTTCGTTAATGGCATTTGTAATCTATTTATTTAACACTGCATTTCATAGCTGTGATGTCAAATTGCTTAACCTTATTGTACCAATTCACTATAAAATGTGTGCACTAAAGAGAGGGAGTGAAATGGCCCTGGCAGCTGAGCAGGTGCAACACGACAGACCTGATCAACATTCTTCAGAGTAGAGTGTGTCTCTACGGAAATGCTGTCAGGTGTTATTCACTAAGGTTCCTTACCTGTGCGTATAGGTTCTGCTGAGGGTAGGCACTGCGGATGGGGTACATGGCTGTTTGGTACGGGGTGGGGCTCGGGGTGTAGGGGGGGGGTGCTCCATTTGACTGAGTGGGGGGCACTTTGTATTGGGTGCCTGCTGAATATCCTATAATAGTCAAAAGAAATAAAGAGGAGAGAAAGAAAGGAGGATTTAGAAATATAGAATCCAGGGATAGTGGATTTCAAAGTTTTTTTTCCAAATGTATTCGATCCATATGTACAATATCATATATACATTTTCAAATTGGAGAACTTGCTCCTATCCGTGTCTATTTCTTTGTCGGATGTGTATATATAGAGTATAAATATCCCTTTTGCATTTCCTACAAACGCCACCAGATGGGACTGGTACCATCTTTTAATGGGAATTGAGGATCAAACACCACAGCAAAGGGCTTTCTGCCGTGTTGCTTACTGCTAAAGACAGTAGTTCTATAGTTAGTGTATGTGGAGTATAACCACCTTCTGATTGTCAAAAAACCTCCTAACCTTATTTGTGCAAACATGATTTAAATGTAGGCACTATTTAACCGACACTACGATTTAAAAAGGTCTGAAAGGCTTGAGGTCTACTGTAGGGCGGTGAAGGCATCTGGTTCAGACCGCAGCATTAGTGTGTGCTCTGCTCTGTGGGGTGCAGTACCTCTGAGCCGCCACCGGGAGGAGCCTGAAGGTCAAACATGCTACTAGCTAGTCGCTGCTGCAGAGCTTATGAAAGCGCTTCCCTCACACAAGGACGAGGGAACAAAGAGATGCTGGGGCTGCTACTCGTGTCTAAAAGTGTGTGTCTGTGCAAATTCACACACATGCACGCAAGAGGACAATGGTGTGTGACAATTACACAAAAGCCTGATAGAAAAGTGTTGGTCTATGCGATGGTCTTGAGAAATAATGACATTGACCAAGATGTGTTCCTAATGAGCTGGCTGTCTGGAGGTTGTCTGTGGCACACAATCTAAACACGTACATTTCCCCGTACAGAATGCATAGGAAAACATTACCACTGCTGATTTTAACGACAGCTACAATAATGAGTGTCCTTTGTTTGAACAAGCTGTTTGTGCCTTGCTTAAGAACACCAGATTTTTTTGTTAGACTTCCTTAAGATAAAACCAAACTGGGGGAGGGGACGGGATGAGAGGGGCTTCAAAGCACCACAGATGAAATCTACAAAACCGCCCTGTCTTGGTACGATACTTGAAATTCAGGGGAATTGGAAGGAATTAAGCAGCCGTTTCCTTTCCTAATTTTGTTTGTCTTTTATCGATTGATAGTAATTCTACTTTAATACAAATATGTTTTTGTTTAAGTGATTTTTTAAATTCTTTAAATGAAGAATTGTTATCTTAATTGAACAGATTATATTAGTTCTTTTAATGACTCTTTTTGTTACCCATCGCTCCGTCTGGTCCCATCCACGTAATAACTTTATGTTTAAAGTCGCCAACTTCACCCGATCCACAAGATCTATCATTTATCTTTGAACAATACGCTTGCTTGTTCTCCCTATTTTCAGTTCATTGATTGGGTATTTCAAATTGTCTATCTGAAATTGGTGATAAAGGTGTTGTGATTTTGAGTTTAACATTGTCACTCTTTGCAAATAAATAATTTTTGATGAATTCACGTGATGAAGTCTGCTAATAAAACTCACCTCACTGGGACTGGAAATGTGAGACTATTAGAAATGATGAACCTTCTAGACATGAATTTGTTGTTTTGGAGCTTTCAAATCTTAGATGACGTTACTTGCTTCAGGCAAATTCATATCAAACAAGGAAAAGAAGCCTCAAATACTTTTAGGAGACGGATGGCTTCTTAGTATTACACGCAGTTGAACAAGTTTTAACATGTGACACCCTATGCAATATTCATCAGGGTATATGCAGGAATGCTGAAGTCAAATTTAAGACCTCATCGCCACGTCGAGTTCTAATCGGTTACATTGGCGACACTTTTACCTCACTTGTCCTTCCTCCTTATCTTCCAATCATTTGGACGCAAACTTGCATTTCCCCATAACGATGTTTAACAACCGGCGTAAACGGACCTTCACGCGCCAACAAGCAGTGAGCGTGCGATGTCCTGTTCAGATGACGTCAAATCCAACGGGATGCCATAAATAAACTACACAGAGTCACACCTATGCAATGATTACATTCAGGCACACTTTAGAATACAACCTCTTTGGACCATTTATATACTTATTGAAAACAAGCTACAAAATGTAATCCCATGGAAAATGCCATTTAATAGCTTTTTATATATATACACTTTTTAAGACCCCCCGCGGGGAACAGGGTGTCCGCACACCCTGTTCATACTGAGATAGCGTTACAACCACCAATTATTGATTGCTCAATAAAATCACGACTATAAGCCATTTTAGACACATTCTATTCTAAAAACAAGCTTGACATTTGAAAGCTCCAGTGAGATGGTATTGACCCGGTCTGGGTTTCCAGGCTGAAAGGTTCCGGATCCCGACATATTAAACTTTCTGTCTCTGCAGACACACCATATCTGGGTTGCACAGCGACAACTGTTATTCCCATCTGCTGTGGGGCCAGACAGGGAGCCCCAGCAGAGCGTGTATCTGCTGCTGAGGGCCACCGGCAGCTGCTACCGGCCGGCCTCCCACTCCTCCACCATCAACGCTCTTTAGGCTGACATCGCCACTTAACCCATACTGCCTTCACTTTACTGTGGAGCTCTCAACTACCACGGTTGCTTTAAATATAATGCTTTGAAACACAATTCAAAGCAGAGGTTATTGTGATATTACATACATATTAAGTATTTAATAAGCATCAGGGTAGATCATGTGACTTCAAATTCAAATCCAGCAGAGTCTAGTTTATTTAACACCAAGGGCTTTCACAGCATAACCTAAGAATGTACTTTCATTTATTTTCCCCCCCCACACGTCACTAAACTGTCCATCAGAATATGAACGAAATGATTACAATAATGACTCGGCAGCAACATTAACACATTTCTGAAGGTTATTAGAGATGAATTGGTGGCTTATTAGTTTAGTTGTTCACGGCCGTTTAGTTTATAAGTAGTATAGCTTCGAAGTCCTGGAATCTAAACATCTATCTTTTTTTATCTTGTTTACATTTTCCCAGGGTTAATAATAAACTGAGGAGAAATCCCCCATTGCCAACACGTTTTCAGATATGTCTGCGTTGTTGTCGTTTCTGCATTGTATTTGACCATATTACACGTCATGTTTCATTCTCAATTACACGATAACGCTCTCGACTTTCTTCTTCAAAAAGAGAAACATCCCACTAATTAACTTCAGAGGAATTGGGTTCAACTGAAAGATATTTCACCCCAGATATTACCCCTTGTGTAATATAAACAAAGTCATCAAATGGTGTGTGTGTGTGTTTCAGGGCTCACCTGGTGGATACCCGGGACTCCCTGTTTGATAAAGGTTGGGTGTATAGGTGGGAGCCGTGGCGGGATACCCTCCTGGATAGCCTGTTAGACATCACAGACAAAAGAGAATAAATCAGAAACCATGGCTTAACAGCAAGAGGGCCACTGATGCGCGCACACACAGTATTTGGTTTGGAGCAGGGTGTGCACAGATGGCGCTCATAAAAAAAAAATGTCAGCACCAATAACACAGTAGGTTGGATGCGTCTTACATACAGACAAGACACACCTGCCAATATAGTGTGGGAGGAGAAAGAAATCCACACACACACACACACACACAAATTACACTTCAGGCAAACAAAGCAGATTTTGACCCGAGAAAAAAAGCTTTTGTAGATAAAAAGGTGCAACTTAGACAACGACGTGAAGGAGGAGACAAGCAGGAGAGGTAAGAGATGCTTTGTTAGTGAACAATGTTATTTTAATTAACAAGCACATACTTGCAATCATTTCAATATTGCAGTGTGTTTTACTTCACACTTTAAATGACCATTACTCAGTTCACTTTACCATTACTGTGTTCATTTGGATTAGCTAAAGATGTATATACTAGGGCTGTCAGTCGATTACAAATATTTAAATCGCATGATTGTCCATAGTTAATCGCACATTTTTGATCTGTTCTAAATGTACCTTAGAGGAATATTTTTCAAGTTTGTAATACTCTTATCAACATATGAGTGGACAAATATGCTTTATGCTAATGTTTATTATTATTTGAACAATGACAAATTCTCATGAATATTAAACACAACAACCTCTGAACATTACAAATATTCACCTCAATTCAACCTGGAACCTCTCATACAATACAAATGTGTGTGTGTGTGTGTGTGTGTGTGTGTGTGTGTTTGTGTGTGTGTGTGTGTGTGATGGATCGTTGGCGCTATGTGCAACTCAAGGCATATGCTCGAACGGGAGCTGCCTGGACGCTGCAATCATGTTGCGCACTATCCGTGCTGAGTGTGCTGACTTCTCGTACAATGTCCCACTGTCTGGCTTCCTGCATAAAGTCAAGTGCTCGGCGCAGTTGTCGGCGAAATGTCGCTCCTCTGTTTTCATTTAAACAGCTCCTTATATCCGTTAGCGCAGCAAGCTAGCACCAGATGCTAACAACAACAATACACGTAAGGTCTCTCTCTTGCTCGCTCGCGCCACACATACACACACCCTCCCGGTCCTCCAGATGGCCAGTCGGTGCCTGCCGGTGAGCGTGGAAGTGTGGGCAAGCGGCGGCAGGAGCGGGGCTGTCAGCATCAGCTTGTAGATGGTATTTTAAACTCGCTGCGCTCTGAAACTACGGGGCGGCCGAGGACAAAAAATACACATGCGTTAATCGCGTTAAAATAATTAACTTTTGCGTACCTGTCAGATTTAACAGGTATGGGGTAAGTGTAGCATTTAACTACACTTTTAACGACATGGGAGCCTATTTTATCTACCATCCCCCGTGTAAAACATTTCATATTCCTCTCTTCAAACATACCCCATTACCTTTACATTCTGATAAAATAACTAAACCAATTGTATTATATTGGTCCCATAATAGTATTCAGTCTACAGCTCATATCCAAATGCTTCAAGGTTCTGAAATTAAAACTGTTGAATGACTAACACTCACTTTAAAAGACCCAACTGAACCACTTCTAAAGCAAAAAAGGTTTAACAATGTTACTTTTATATAGAAACTAATTGTGGTTCCCTGCTGCACAAAGGACTTTGGAATGAAGTCTCTGCGAGGAAAGAATCCCTGAAAACATTGCTTTTCCTCAGACCATGTCCACTGGGTCTTCTATGTTAACACACACCTTCGAGTAGTGAAAGCACTATAAGTTACACTAGTATCCTTATTTGACTTGATCATCTTAGTTTTTTTATTTGTGGAAATTGGTAAAAACACAATCTAAAACATGGGTCATTCCTGCAGGCATCTTGACCTGCAGTTTAAACTTTCACCATGTTTTGGAAAATAAAAAAGGGTGGCAAACGATCCCAGCGTCACGCTTCTGCACCAGGTTCCAACGTTGTCACAAGAGAGTAAACAAATCACGTAGCAATTCCCAGGACTATCTTTTAGGACACTCATTCACTGACTCAAATCTCAGTGGCAGTGTTTGTTGTCACTTGAAGCCACCCTTTAAAAACATGCTTATTATGGTATAGAGGATGATGAATGCGTGACGTAGTTTTACCTGCAAAGGCCATGTTCTTAGGGTTTCCGTATGGAGTGCCAGGCTGAACGGGGCTGTAGACGGGATTCATAGCTGAAGCTAACCTGTTCTTACTGAGAAAGGGAGAAAAAGACAGAGCGGTAGAGGGGGCAGGGGGAATATGGAAGGGAGAGAGATGTAAGCTGTGTAAATTGGAAAGAAGAACGGTTATGATTATCAAGCACAGGCACGCACTCATCACGCACATAAATCCCAAACTCAGATTCTTCAGGCGACATCCAGCTGAGAGATTTTGCCAGCATGCAACAAAAACAAGATCAAACCCTATGAATCCTCACCCTCGAGCAGGCTCAACGCAAATATGGATTAAAAAACAACGGACTTTTGGAATAAATGAGGCACAAGTACTGACAAAAAGAACGCATGGAACTAATTGTTTGGTTTTCTGTGAGGCAGTAAATAAATCAAATGTAGCTTCCTTTTTACTACTGCACCAAACAAGGCAGGGCCCTATCGACCAGCCTGGTTACGAGTACAGGACTGAACGGAGGAATGGCCGCTAAACATTAAAGGTTCTGGAAATGTTTTGGTTGAGATGACCGATAACAAGAGCCATTTATATAACCATAAGGCTGCTCTCTCCACCAGTCTCACTATGCAGAGGAAATGACCTCCAGTGCTCCCAACTTACCTCGTCATATGGGCATGGGAAATTGTGTTTACATGTGTGTGTGTGTGAGTGTGTGTGCATGCGTGCCCCGTACCTCTTGTGCGTGTCTGGTTGATACATGAAACTGAATTTGTCTGTGGGATGCCCGCTCGCCATTCTTGCTGTATGCAAATGAGGAAGGAGTGGAAGTGGATATGCAAATCTGAAATTAAAACAGCGAGAGTTCATGATTACAACGAACACAGGGAAAGAGACCAAAAGAAAAAAGAAAAGAGCAAAAGAAGCAAGCACCGGTGCAACAGCAAATGGTTAGTGACCGCAGCAGGGAGACAGTGATTTAGACAGTGTGTGAGTGAGCGTGTGGTAACTGCCGTGTCCTTGAATGCATCATGGTGTGAAATAGAGGAATTCCTGGAAATAGTGTGAGATGGAATGTTTTTGCATTTATTTTTAAAGCTGTGCGTATAAAACAATCAGTTTCTACTGGCTGACAAAACAGCCTAAATGTTAGGTTTCTCTTTCCTGTTTATATAAGGCCTAAGTGCATGTGAGTGAAAGTAAGATATGAGCATGACTGTATGTATGTGATGTACACGACATCCAATACAAGCAGCAAAGAAAAGGTTCAGAAGCACGACACACCCAGTGAGGAGGCAAGTGACAGAACAAAGTACAAATCAGCTGGGTCCTGCACAGCGTCATGAATAAGCATGATCAAGTGAGCATGAGCCAGAACCACAAAAGCACAAGGCATCGCACAAACAGAGCGGAACAGCCGAGGAATAAATAAAGAGGAGGAAAGGTGTGTGTGTGTGTGTGTGTGTGTGTGTTCATGTGGATTGTGTGTTGATTTGTTCTTCCTTTTCTGAAAGAGATGGGAGTCTGTATATGACGATCAGGCCGGTTCTGTCTGGTTTTAACTGCGGCTCAGTCGTGTGTTGTATAAGACTGCGTGAAATGTGTTGTGGCAAGCTCTTTGCACACAGCACATCACCCATTCACCATGTTTAGACTATGAAAATGCATGCGTCTAATTCAGCTTCCTGTAGATTTGTGAAATGCACTGTCTCAAAAGACAGACTTAAATCTGACCGATCCATCCTGGGCTTGTGCTTCATGGCCAGTGAACAAATCCTTCAGGTGATTATAGTTCTACTGTCACCATTTCTGAGCACGCACGTTACCGCTGTAATGCCAAACGGCACCAAGTGACAGTTCAAATTAAGCAAGAAAGCATTTCAGCGCACCATCCAGCAACACTGACGTCAAAACGCCCAGAGACAGCCGCCAGCTGAATGCGAGTACAAACGCGTGGGAGCTGTTTCTTTTCAGTCTTTTTGTGCTTATTCCGTAAAACACACGCATTCCTCAGAAAGCAACCTGTGTATGTGTATCAACAATCATTACATTCCTCCAACTTAATCTGTCTCTCCTGCGAAGATTTGATTGTACCATGATATAAGCAAAATATATATGTATATATATATTCCAACCTCCAGATAAAAAAAACACAGCTGAGCTTAAAAAATACAACCCTTCATTTTCCTTAAATCTCTTAAAAGTTCACTTTACGAGTTTTAAAATAAAAAAAATGTATTCCATGTTGATTCGCAATGATCTGTGTAATCAAATAAAAAATATTCACAGTCACGCTTGCAAATCTGTCAGGCACGAAACACCAAGTATATCTGAAGCCATTTGGACCAAATAGGTGGGCTGCCAGGCCAGTTGCCATCCCTAAAGCCAATGCGGTGATCAAACTGTAGCTTTTTTGATTTGACTGAAAACTCATCTCTTTCGACTCCACTTCGAGCGATATAATTACTAACAATGAACTGCTAACAGAGCACTTATATATAGCACTTATATATAAAGGACTGGCTTACCTAAAGCCAGTTGAGTAGCACTTGAAATGTTTGGCTCTATGAAACCTGATGTACTTATATGATTCTGTTTTCTTCAAGGTTGTGTCTTCCTGGTCGAATGTACTTATTGTAAGTCGCTTTGGATAAAAGCGTCAGCTAAATGTAATGTAATGATCAAAATGTAGGTGAAGACAACATATGATCGTAAGCAAACAAAAAAGCTGAATTTTCTGTTGCTTTAAAAACACAACATTTGTAGATTTTCATTATCTTAACAGAACATTATTGTACAAAATCATCAAATAAAACCTTGTGTTGCGAGAGCGTTAATCTAAAATATTATCCTAATCTGTAGGATGTTCACTAAATTGTGATGCCTATGTGAATGTGTTGAAGGGGAGAACAATACCCACTAACACATGGACAGGTGGCTAAGCTAACTATGTGGTCTAGTGTCGTAATCACAACATTACCAATTATCAGTGTGCCTGAATAGAGTAGAGTGTGTTCATCTGTTTCAGCCTGAGAAACAGAGGGTCTTACTGTGTGTGTGTGTGTGTGTGTGTGTGTGTGTGTGTGTGTGTGTGTGTAGGCAAAATTGATGAAAGTGAATGGCGCGAACAATAGAGGGCACCACAATGCGTCTAATGAAGGTGTGTGTGAGGAACAGAGAATGGCAGAAACCCATGTGATGAGTGGGAGTGTCTGACAACTCCCTTTTGTTTTCAGGGGGAGGGGATGATGAGGAGCTTCAGGCTCTTCATTCTAAACAAAAAGCCTATTTGTAGCCAGAAGACCTTCTGTTTGACAGATTGTAAAGTCCATCCTCGTGAGGACCTTTACCATCAACAGATTAAGTACATGTATTTGTAGTAGTGCAAAGGGGCAGAAACGTCATAAAGACAATACCAAAAAAACATTGAGTCATCTGCTGAATCATTTATCCATTAGTCTATAAAGATTTGAGAGAAAAGCAGAAACTCCAAATGTTTCACAATACCAATTTCCCAGAACCAGTTCAATGCTTTGTCCAAACAACATTCCAAAACCTAAAACATTATCAATTTACTTTTAAGACAAAGAAAAAAGCAGCAACTCCAAGCGATAGAGAAGCTAGACCTATTTGCCAAACTGAAGCCAGGTAATTTAAGAAGCAGAAAGCATTTACTGTGAAGGAGCCGCAGGTACAAATACTGCCTTGCCAGTATGCCAGTGACGGGAAACAAACCAAACACACATCATCAGAATCCAGATTTTAACTGAATAAGTTACTCTTTTGTAGGGGTGTAACGGTATCCGTATTCGTCCGTCACGGTACGGACGTCACGGTTCGGCACATGCAGTCACACGACGAATACGCCTTTGTTTTACGAGTGGGGAAAAAAGTCTGTCATTCAGGGCAGTATCCACTACACTATAATCCAGGGGGCGGTATTGCGCCTAAAAGCTGTTTGCCAGCCGCCCTTAAAAAACAAATGAAGAAGAAGAAGAAACACAACAACAAAACGAACAAAATACAAGAAGAAGAAAAGTTAGTGTGGCGATTTCAGATAACACACAGGAGCTAGAACCCACCTGCTGCTTTTAAATCAGCTGTGTGGGAACATTTCGGGTTCCCTGTGGACTACAATAACGATGGAGTGCGAGTGGTGGATCGGACGAGGACGGTGTGTCGGCGTTGTTCGATAGCGGTGCGGTATGCTAATGCTAATGCTAATCATATCAGAAGGGATCACCCAGATTTGCCAATCACTGGAGCCCGGAAAAAGACAACAGCAGTTCAACAACTTATCTCCGCTATTTTTAAGAAGCCAATAGACATGAAAGCCGTGAGATCAAAATAAATAACGGAAGCTTTTGACATGTGTTTTTCAACGACTTTGTGCTCTTGAAACACTTTGTTATTATTTATGATGTAATATTTTCAAGACATTCTTTTTAGTTTGACAGCTTATTGAACCTTTTCGTTTGACATCAGCCATTATAGATAATATGGCCATCTGAGTGTGTGTGGTACTGTTTGTGGTTTGTTCTTAACTGTTTAATACAGTTAATTATTCAAAATGTTAGAGTTCCTTATTTTTAAAATGAAACTTGCACTACTGTTCAAAAATAAATAACAACAAACCTGGAATTATGCATTTGGGACTTTTTTTTGCTTTTTCTTGTTGTACCGAACCCGTACCGAACCGTGACACACAAACCGAGGTACGAACCGAACCGTGACTTCTGTGAACCGTTACACCCCTACTCTTTTGGCAACCATGCACCGCATTTTCAAAAAGTTGAAGGCTGCTTCCTGTAAAGTCTTATCTTTTCACTCCTCTCTTTCTTCTTCCAAACGCACCAGACTTCAGAGAAAGCCGAGCTAGCTGCAGACGCTCTGTCGGTGTAAAGGCTTCCAGCGGACTCTGGCACTGATGATCTGACATTAAGTGTTTTCACTCATCTGCTGACAGCTTTTGGCCTTAGGACTATCAAACAGTGACCATGTTAACCATGTGACCTCTAACAGCCAATGATTATCGACATGAAATTGGATTTTTGGTTTGGTTTGCACTGAGAACTGACACTAGCAAAATATGTTGTGGATGTTGTTTTCAAATCTTATTTGACTCTTTTAGTACCATCACTACGACACTTTGCAAATACTAAATGACACATTCCATTCAAGGTTCTCCTCACAAAGGACGGGAATCATCCAGTTTTGTATGAGATGTCTCATACATCACATGGAAGTAAAAAATGATATTTTGTCACACTTTTTTCCAATTCCTTGTTTTATCCCACCAAAGTCTAATTGAAGCAATTAAATGATTAACAGTATAGACCGTATTCTCCTGTCCACAGTCTAATCCTTTCAGCTAATAATCGCTACCTTCATGCTGACATTAAAGTGTATTGGGAGCTTGCGATCCGTCTAGCACACACACGCTGACATTACAAAGGAGACCTTCCAGCTCCATGTCTCCTCCAGAGTTATTTTACAGGACTTTATTAAGCTTAAACTCTATTAGTGGGACTTCATTTGGGCTGAACTCAAAAGGTACAGCCTCAAGGCCTAGGTACAAAATCCCAGGAGCCTCACGGACAGAGCTGGGTGTGTTTGTGTCTATATTTAAATGCTTTGTGTGAGCTCAGTAATGTGGCAGTCAGCTTTTTCCTCGTTTCAGATCTTCAAAGATTATGCCGACATTAAATTAGTGAGGTGCATGTTAATATAAAAACGTGCATGTTGCAAAACAATAATGTCGGTTCCACTCCATAAAGGGGGATTCCTGCAGCCTAGGGGAGCAGTAGAGGTAATAATGAGGGAGGAGGATTGTGAAAGAATAAA